CAAGAGAAATCTGCAGGAACACTTCCTCGATGTCAGCTGTAAATAAGCGGTTAATAATAAGATGTAAGATGTTCTATACTTTTTATTTCCCTTTTTAGAACCTTTAGCAAATTAGTAGTTTCATCTACGAACTTTAGCAACTTAGTAATTCTAACCTGGTTATCCTTCATATTTTCTACTAAATTCTAGGACTAAATCATTAAGAATCACATTTATTAGTATCGGATACAATAAGGTACTGTACAAATCTAGCAAAGTATTAATGATTATAATCTCTAACTTGTACTTCACAGCGGTCATATAATTTTCGAGGTGCTGTCATATCGCTAGACTTCCTAACTGGAGTCAGAGTTAATAAGAATTCATGTGTGAATCTGTTATTTGTTCCTTGAAGCCGAAGCGATCTTTTAATCTTTTCACAGCCTTCTTGTAGTTTTCCACTGTTTATGTTAACCCCTGTAATACAGTTTCTGCATGGAAAGTCGGAATTAACTTTAAATAATTGAAATTTTTCTATTGCATGTAGGTTTTCATCTTCGTGTACAGCTGTCTCAAATCGCACCCAAAAACCGAGCCAGCTGCACACATCGTTTCCCGAAAAAATTCTCAAGGCCAGGGTTGGAAGTTTAATTTTGTTTTGCGAATCAGGTGACAGTTCCACATGAAGTAGAATTATCGCTATGTGGCTTAGCATCTAAATATCTTTTTAAGTGTAATTTTCAAACAATGATTTTATCTTTATACTCTTCTCCAGAAATTATTTATTTTTCTAAAGGCTTTATTTACATCAATCAAACTTTCAACAGCTTTATCAGCTCATATTAGTCCTTTTTCTTTACTAATTAACTGCGCAACAGCCTCTTCAATTACACATTTAGCAGCTCATTTCTTTTGTATTTTTTATAGATTCATATTTTTGCATAATGCAAACCTAATGGCCTCACGTTATAGCGCCACTTAAAATGAGTTATTTGAAATTCAATTAGTCAAAGCTAAAACATAGTTGGATTTCATATGACATGTACTCTATAATCCGCCGTATAACGTGCACTATAATTTCAAACTACATTTTTAAATTTTTAGGTATACTTGCCGTATAACAGGCATCCTTTTTTACGAAGAAACCTGAAAGATACATGTGCCACGATTTTAAATTTAAGTCATTTATTCAGAGCTTTTCCCCAGGCTTTCAAATAATGGTACACTGAATTGACAAGTATGCTGTTGGATGACAGAATTGGGCAACTCATTCTATGCTGCTTCACATCTATGCCACACTTTATCAACCGTATTAGCTGGACAGGGGTGGCGGGCCAGTCTCTCAGCAACCCATGACCAGATATTTTCAATGGGTGACAGATCTGGAGAACGTGCACGCCAGGGCAGCATCCTAGTACCCTGTGTATCGAGGAAGGACAGAACACGACATAGAACATGTGGTCTTGCATTATCTTGTTGGAAGATAATGCAAGACCACATGTTCCATCTCCGAGGCGTTTGGCAGGCCTCGGAGATAGGACACAACCATTGGATGTAAGATGTCAGAAATGTATTGATCTGCGTTCAAATCACCGTCGATCCGAATTAGAGATGTGCATGTCGTGTACCCAGTGGTACCCAGTAACCAAACCATCACACCAGGTGCAGGGCCCCTATGCCGATATCGAAAGCCAGCAGGCAATGTGCGATCTTCTCGGAGCCTTCAGACACGTATACGGCCATCAAAATACTGCACGAAGAACTGGGACTCGTCTGAAAAGACGACATTGCGCCGCTCCTCTATCCAGCTTTGTCGTTCGGCGAACCAGAGTCGCCATCGCTCTCTCTCTGCTGCATTGTCAAGGGAAGCCGGGGTAATGGTCGCTATGCTGATAGTCCACGCTGCTTCAAATGTCCAAGCACTGTAAAAGCGGATACTGAGCGGGCTGCAAACATGCCTATTTCCTGACTAATAGTACGTGTTTCTGTTGTACGGTTTTGCAGGGCTGACTTCACAGTATGTCTGTCCTCTCGGGCGTTAGTAATGGGAGGGCGTTGAGATCTTACAGTACGACCATCAGTAACTCATTGATTCCATATTCGCATGATAGTGGATGGATGTTGACCAGGGCGATGGGCGATATCAAGGAACAATAATTCACACTCTCGACAGGCAACGATATCGAATTCGGACACTTACTGGTAAGCATTTCTTCCTATTATTCGAGGTATAAGGCGATATTCTGAGCAAACTTCGGCCTGATAAAGCGCTTTCCGAATGAGAAATCCACTGCACAACTTCTCTTTTATGCAGTGCTTTAGATGTCGTTTCTCCCTTCTTGCGTCGTCTAAATGCGCTGAAATACTAATAATTTTCATTCCTAATTTCTTCTTCGTTTCATGTAATTTTGACGTTCTTCTGATCATTCCTCCTGGTGTTGCAATTTGAATGGCCAGCAGTGTATAAATAATCTTGTGTCATTATCGAGAGGGAATGAAAGTGGATTAAACAGAAGACTTTATTACAATTTCGAAATGAATAATCAGTATTAAACGAAAGTAATCACATTCTCGAATAACATATGAAGCCTATGAAAAGCAATGGAAAATCCTTTACGTAATGTCTACTGTAAAATTTAGAAGTTTAATTTTAAATCAATACAAGTAAGTTACTCATTTTGTTTCCTGCATAACTGAAATATTTTCTTGTCTAATTTTAGCAGGTAAAAATAGAACAAGATTGTGTAATTAGTTTACAGCCTACTTAAATAAAAATTAATTTCACTTTTTTTTATTTTAGTTGAAATGGGTTGCACATTTAGAAAAATAAAAAGCAATTTTTGTTTAATTTTGTAAAAAATGTATGCACATTTTACATTCTGTTATTCAGAAATAAAAATATTTTATCTTCTTAAGTTGTTGAAATAAAATGCAATAAAAATAGAATTACCTCGTAATAATATAATAAAAAGTGAATCTTGGTTTACAGAAAGGAAGAGAGCGAGGAAAAAGACAGTCTCGTGAGAAAGAGAAGTAAAGAACATTTAAGTTCTAGTATTTGAATTTATTTAAATTATTCCAGGTTTATGGTTTCAAAACAAAAAAGTAGTTACAGAGAAACAATGTTAGCTAAAATATTAACATTTATAGTCCAAGCATTCTGTTTTATTATCTGTCATTTTAGACAGTCAGCTACAATAGTTATTCCCCATTTTCTCAATGTGAAAGGGGGAATCAAAATGACAGTTAAAGAAGATACATCTATATCATTTGAAATGAAAAGCATAAAATGATTATCCCTGTGTGCCTGGACCTTAAAAGAGATGAAAATGTTTAAAAGAAACTGTTCTGTTTTATGTAATTTTAAGGAATGAAATTAGGCACTGCAAATAAGGCAATGAATTTTTATTTTTACTTGTACAGATACGTATGAAAACAGTTAGAAAAACATTTCAGTATACACTTTTCAAAATGATCATTTAACAGATATCCGGAACTAGATCTAAGCTTAATTTGGTTAGCACCACCATTTTTGAAAAATGATAGTTACTACATACCTAGAAAACACATTTTTGTGCATAGTCAGACAGACATTTGGAAGAATCATGCAAGTTGTATCGGTGATTCTTCATAGAAAAGATTAGAAAATATTATAATTCATGTTTTTCAGTAGAATCGAGAATAATATAAGAAGCTTAGTTTATTTCTTAGTATTGTTTTCTATAATACCTGGACTTTATTATAGTAATGTACACCAGCTTGAATTATTATGAAATATTAAACTTATTTAAATTGTATATATCGAACGTTCAATTTCAAAAATATATCCTTCCTCGAAACCGCTTTTATTAACTTGAAGAACATCTTTTAGTTCAGGCTCTTAGCGGTATTTATCTCTTCAGTGCCAATAATTAATCTTTTTTTGTTTGAAAATGGCATAATTACTTCGCTACAGAGAAATGCAGCTCATCAATATCAAATTATAAAATATCTTTTAAGATACTGGAAATTTGTTAGTGATTAAAAGTTGAATCTACGCATGAAACAAAAATGCGCATGGGTACGCACTTGTGCCCGCGTATTTATCTCACGTGTATATATAATTTAGCTTTTATGATATTTTTTTCTGGCATTCTAGAGTCATTGCTTTTGTTTAAAAAATAAATAATTTCTTAAAATCTTAGATATAACGTAGCTCTAAATGTTAAAATCTATTAATTTGCTACTGACAAATGTACTAAATAATGAAAAACTTCTAAGACGTTGGATTGTGAAAAAGGTGTAAGAACGTTTTTCTGAGAGGTAAATGTTAATGCACTACATCCTGTGATATTTTAAAGAAGAATATTTCGAATCAGTAGATAAATAAAATATTGATGAGTAGAAAACACAATCTCTATAGTAAAACATTTAAACCAGTCTGTATAGAAAGAAAATATTAGTTTTCGTATTTTTAAAAAATGTTTGAACTATCGGTAACTAAGCTAATATTAGTAATCATATTATTGAAGAAAATATTGGTTGACATATTATGATAAAGTAATTAATGTGTGTATATGAGATCCATACATCCATTTTAAGTTATTGGTTAGCCATTTTGTTTTCTTTTGAAAGCTCAGTTATATAAGAGCGTTCAACATAATCACTGCCAATTTCGACGCAAGACTTGTTTCATTGTTTATAAATACTCATGTTGCTTTGGTGATAATATTTCGTTTGTCATAAATATGATTTAGAGTTTTCATTTTCAGAAAAGGTTAGAAATCAGATGGTGCCAAATTAGAAGAGGATGGAGATTGAATCAAAATGACTGGCAAAAAAAGTTTCAAAGATAATACTTGTCATTAATCACGAATAGTAGATTAAGATTCTAAAGAAAAGCATTAAAAATTGATGGCATATAATTTGGAAAGAAATGACCAGCTGTAGAGTCATTAGGTTTATTTTTTTGAAGCAGGAGCTATGAAAAATGAGGAATGCCCTCGCCGGAACTCGAACCTTGACCTCTCGAATACGCGCCGAGTGTGTTACCCTTACACGAAGGCCATGCTGAAAGGAGGAAGAAAATACCTTATGCAGCTAAAATTTTAAATGACAAAGAAAGCTAAATATCTGAATGATTTTTGTGAAATTAAATTGATTTTTGGGTTTTCATCCATGTGTAGATGAATATACGCATGATAAAAAAATGAGAAATTTAATAGGTCTTTATTTAATAAGCTATTAAACTTAACTAATATCACTACTAATCAGACAGCATTGAAACAGCATTACATTTATTTAAAAAATAGTATATGGTTTAATTGAAGAATCACCGATATGTTTGTTCCCAAGTTTTGGTCACTTCATATATAACATTCCATTAAAGTCAGTATCAAAATTATAAAAGTAACGAAAACGCGAGAGAACAAATTTACAACATTGGAATAATACTTTGTGCAAGGAATTAAAAAACTGGTGAGTTTACGGAAATCGTATAGAAACCGTCCATATGTATGAAACCGATATACGCATCGGACTACCTACAGTTTGCATTTGAAAGAATAAATGGAGTCTGCGTACAATGTGTGTTTTTCATTCCTGTAGCGATAGATTTGGACCCAACTAGGAATGACGAAATTCATATCAAATTGTATAAAAAGCTTTTAATAAGCTGATTATGATTACTATTATTAATTACTAAAATTTACATAATAAATTACTATTGTTATGCCAGGAAGTTTGTAAGAAAAATACTTGAATCAATACAGAATTTTAATTTATAGTAAATTATATAAATATTTTTATGCATATCGTTTTTAATAAGCTTATGAAAACTTTTTTTCATGCTCATCTCTTGAATGAATTTAAAATTATATGACGCAGTTAAATTTTAAAGTAGAAACTGAGTCCACCAGAGATTAAATAGCGTAATTCACATGTTTAGTGATGGGAAAAAATTCTTGTAATAAAAAATGCAAATTTTTAGTCGAGTAAATTTACTGATATTAAAAAAAATCAGTGGTTCATAAAAATTTTATTATTTACAGATGGTAAGGTTTTAATTTGATGGATCTATTCTTAGGTTCAATTTTGCTTCTTTTAATTTTCTTTTCCAACTCGGTGTTTTCCCATAAGTATGCAAATAGAGTTGGTATTTAAGAAAAATAGACGTCTAACTGTAGATGGAGAGCCAAAGAAAGAGGACAGTTAATAGATAACTTTTTGCCAGTTGAATGAATTTCATGCAGAAATCCTGGCTTTTGTTATTGTCTATGTCTGAACTCGGTGGTTTCTCAAACAATCTGACACAACGCCTTTGAATAGCAAGTACCTATGTTTGAGTTTAATTTAAAAGCTGATGATAGTCAGAGTGGTTAATCACAAGTATCTTTATTAAGTTCTAGACGCCTTATATGAAGCTTCTGTGATTTAAATCGAGATCATCTGTTTGGACCGTGTAGGCTGCTTCATTAAATTGCAAAATAAGCTTCCTATCTTCACCAGTCATAATCGTAATAATAACTTAGCTTGAATTTACTTGGCTATGCTTACTATTAGTTAGTTCTTGAGTGAACGATAAATAAGCAAGTATATTTAAATTAATAAAATATTAACCTAAACCTTGTAGAACTCTGTTACGCATAGTTTTACTGAAATGCTAAGTTCTGCAGTAGAATAAAAAAGATTAATTATAATATCGAAAAATGTTAGCGATTTCTTTTCGTAAGATTTAGTTTAGAAATTTATTTTTAAATGAATATTATAATGAAAAACTTTCTCTTAAAATTAAGTTACGTATTTATAGGACAGATTTTATTTATAAGAAATGCTATATACAAATTACGTTCTATTCTGGAAAATTGTTCGAGAACACAACATCACGCAGTTTACTCCATTTAATCGTTTTGCAAGTTGTTTACTTCTTCCCGAGAAGGCCGTCTAAAATTGAGCTCATTAAGAGCTTTTTAAAGGTAACATCATCCAGAGTTCCTCTGCAAAGTTACCATGGGAAGACCTAGTTCATTAACAAAAACACTTAGTAACATTATTTTAAGTTATTTACAAATTTTGGCACTCTAGATAATTAGAATCTGCAAAAGAAGTAAGCCGTGAAACAGATATTTCTAGTTTGCCTAGAATTCTGAAATGGTGAACTTTTTTTAACAGAATTCGCTTCTTCCGAAAAGAAATTTGAGATGGAGTAAATTATTTCAGTATTGATTAATAGTTAATTTTGGTGCTTACAAATATTGAAAAGTTCTAATAAAAATTATTAGAAAACATCTTGATATTTGGTTAACGGAAAATATTCAGCTAATTTTATTTAAATTACCTTATAACACAAAATATTCTTTTTGTCATTGACAGATTAAATTTTGACAAATAAAATGCAAAAAGAAATGCCAGAATTCATAAAAAGATCCGAAGCTTGTTGCTAATATATTTCGAAAATTAAAAATTTTAGGTTATAACATAGTCACCAATCCTAATTTGTTACAGTTATATATTTAATCTCACCCACAATCTACTTTTGCAAAAAAAAGGCTACCTTATTTGGCAGCAAAATAGCTTTTACATCTTCCTTCGAATTATTTAGCAACAAATCATGTAACAGAAATATATTTGATTTTTCAACAGAATATTCCCTAAATTTTGTAAAAATTTTTAAAAAGCATTTTTAAACATATTAACGAGATTTTGTAACTTTAAAGCATTTTAGAAACGTAAAGACAAACAGTACAGCATTTTGTTTCACTGAATCATACTGCTCGAATCCACATGGCCTTTGAATAACATTGTAATGGCACAACATTTAACAGTACGTAAAGTTCAGAATTTTTATGCTCAAAATATTTACAGTTTCACAATTATTAAATTTACGCATTCAAACTAAAATTAAAAAGTCGAATGACATTAATTAAAAAGAACGCTTTTTAGTACGCCATATTGATACTATGTATGATAAAATACATTTTGAAAACATTTATAAAAGAAATTTTGAAAACATGGAAAATGTTATAATCTTGATTCTTATTTCTATTCAATTTAACAAAAGAAACAACATTTAATTCTACAAATGTATGGATTAACTAGATGGGATCTTCCATAACATTCACAGATACCCTTTTTATGTAAAATATATCGAATTAGTTTACTGTCTGAGAATGCTAAACTTTTGAACTTCTGCTGCGATTTTCGAAGCATTCAAGATCATATAAAATTTATCTTCTAGATAAAAAGAACGAACTTACTTCAAACAATGCATCAAGCTATTTATGTTTATATCTTGTGATTAATAATATAAAAAGTTTATTCACAAAAAAATAATATATCCTCAAAAGTTCTTTTGAAAATAAATTTAAAAATACAAAACTAGGTCCTAGTTTCCTTATTATTGTTTTAAAGAAAATGCGCTCAAAGAAATTCCTTAAACTTATTTGTAAATTAAGAAGCAGCAAAATGATCAGAAAGAAACATGAAAGCGCAGGAAAGATATTTCTTTCGAAGCAAAAGACTTTTGGAAAATATCGATTATTTGCTCTTTTAGGGTAATAATAATGCATAGGAAATTATCGATTGTTTGCTCTTTTAGGGTAATAATAATGCATAGGAAAATATCGATTGTTTGCTCTTTTAGGGTAATAATAATGCATAGGAAATTATCGATTGTTTGCTCTTTTGGCATAGCAATAAAATAATAAAATTTTAAAGAAGAAGGTTTTGATTTACTCAGTACTTGAGTTTCCCTTCCCACAAATCCAACGTTTTACTGGAAAGGAAAATCTAACAACCTACTTGTTTCCTTTTTACTAGAGCTCTTTTGAAATTCTAAGAAATCAAATAAAATGGCTTAAAGTCCCGCGTCTTTCCGTCCTCCAAGTTATACAAACTGTCACTTATTTGTCATGATAGCAATAATGCTTTTGAAACTTTGTTTGAAAATTGCCATTATTATTTTCAGTTAATTTTGTTTTCAATTTTACGTTTCTTAAAAATCTTCTATATCTAATAATATTTGTTTGAAGTGTACGTTCAGTATTCTATTTGCATCTTAAATTACGCAAAAAATCATTCTAAATTCTGAAATGTTTAATTCAGCAGCTACTCTCTGTGTTGCTGAGTCTTCTTATTTCGCCACTCGGTGGCCTGTTTTTCAGACGAGTGTAACTCCCAGATTGCGGCTAGAAAAGAAAAATATAATATTTAACTAACTGCAAACCGTGATCAAAAAATCATTGCGACTTAATGCAAGAAAACTTAAGCACCGGAGCAAAATAAGAAAAAGCTCTATAAGCATATAACAGAAAAACCTCATATGTTTCAAAAATTCAGGCATTTTATTACTATTTATGATATAACACTTCACTTATCTCTGAAAACTTTTAAGATATTTTTAATACATTTTTCTTGTTTTTTACCCGCTGTCTTAACTATGAAACACGTGCAATGAATTAAACTATATAACATGCAGCAATTATATTACATATTATATTAATAATATGTAGTATACTGTTTATTACATTATATAATAGTTTTATATTTTACTCCATAATATCAATCTCTTTTTAATTTCATAATTATTGTTCAATAGTAAATTTTTTTTCACTTTTGAAAAAGAAAAATAAGCTGTATAAAATTACGCAATTACCATGCAAAAGTAGTTAATCTGATGTAAGTTTGATAATATTAGCAGGAAAATGTATCTTCGAATAAAAAAAAGTGTTTTTGTTTTTTAAACATACATGTTTAAAAACGTTTGACTTGAGCAATTTTTGAGCTCAAAATTTGCATAAAATACCAAATGGTATTTTATTACACAATGATTACAGCGTTGATGCAGAATTTGAAGCTAGAAAAGTAATGTACAAGCTCTCTATGGTATTTGTTAACATTTCACATTAATTTCCTTGACAAAATACTTTAAATTTTAGTTTCATAATAAAGGAACATATTAATAGATCTGCTACATTCATTATTATATCCTGTAAAAAATTACAAGTATATGAAAGAGTTATTGCATATATTTCCTTTAGTTTGATTATACTATTTAAATTAATCTAAATAAATTTTTTTCCATTTTGCCCTTTTTGTTAAAGATCTTTCTAGAAAATGGTAACATAATAAAATAATACGCTGACATGGATCGAATTCTCATGACAAAAATTTTAATAAGTTCCACGACGTTTTCTAAAATTTCTTGAACATATTGCTGTGATCAGTTTTTGATCGAACTCTTCAGGCCAAGCTGTTTTGTCGACTTCCACTTACGTCAGGTGGATGTGGTTGTTGTTGCTGCTGCTGTTGTTGCGCTTTTTTGACATCCCAAGGAGCATCATAACCATCTTCGGGGTTGAGGATGCCTACTATGGATGTGGAAGTCACTACTCCATGTCTTGTGGATGGTGGGCTGTACGTCGGAGGTCGTATGTAACCATCACGATGGATCGTTAATTGTCCGTCTGGTAGGTGCCCTGCTAACTGCTGTTGCAAAACTGTGAAGAAAAAATATTAGAAATTTATTATTTGTTTTATATTAAAGTCTAGTGTTAAGCCACTAATACAACTTTAAGGATTAAATCTGAAGTGCTTTGTAACTTGAGGTGGTTTAAAACTTAAAGTTTTGCATTAGTATGAAAGAAATTAAGATTATTTACATCTAAAATTGCAGAAAGGCCGAACTACACAGGAAAGGTCTGTACGCTGTAAAGGGGTCGGTTTCCTGCATTGATGTTGTGGCTATTTTGCAATGAAATATCCTGTCAAGAAAGTTTTCAGTTTAATCAGTTTAAATTGCTGATTATAGAGTAATTAAATGCTATATATGTTTTATCTAAGATGTATGGAATGTGGGAACTGACACTTCGTAAAGCGAATTTGGCATCAAATTGTAAACAATTCATAATTTGTTATAGTAAGAAGTATACCATAACTGCATTCCTAATTGTCAAATACTTCGTTATGAAATGTCGGGTGTATTTGCCGGGACGTATACTTGGCAGATTGAATTGCTTGTTCATTTGTGGCTGAAATGTTAACTGCAGAATTTGACAATTTAATTTCGAGTTTCAAATACTCAGCAGAACTGCTCCTGACTTTAAGATGCTGATAGAAGAGTCGGCAGTAGCAAATTTTAAAGTCACGACGCATTTTGAAGTCGATTGCATGCATATCAATGAACTTTTTGATAAACGAATGAGAACTGAAACTGATATTTGCATCGCATTAGTCATCTGTAATACGTTGGGAATTCCAGTAAAGTGTTTTTTACAATTAATAATGGTGTTTTCAGGTCACTGCAACAATATATTTGCTCGCATTTATGTTTGTCTAATTGAAATATACTAATTTCAGGAATAGTTAAGTTTGAAGCAGGCAATTAACACAGAAGAAAGCTGCGTATTGTGATTAGTAACATTTTAATAATACTTATAACTAATTCTGATAATATGATATTTTGATGCCCAGCTTCAGAAACTTTGAATCAGTGAAAATTAGTTATGCTTACCTAAATGCCTGTGTTGCCTGAAAACTACTCTTTTGTAGCAGACCCATGCGAACACAACAGTGGTAACTATAACGACCACAGAAGCTGCCACTGGGAGTACGAAGTAATGCCGGAAATAGAATGGTACATCTTCTTCCGACGATCGAAATCCGATATTTGTTTCTAAAGGAAGAATTTTAGTCGTCGTTAAAGATATTACAGAAATTTGAGTGTCTTTTAAAGCATATCCATAACAACTAAAATATAAAATTTCATGATAGCAAATTACTAAAAATAAATTGAATTGTTTTAAACTTACTTCTGAGAATTTGCCGTTAAAACCAACGACTACAAAATAAGAAAGCTCATATTATACTTTGATATTATTCATATAAAATAGTTTTCAGTATAAGTTTCTTTTCGAAATCGAGCCATTTGAGTATGCAAGCACTATATTTTTACTTGTTACTTTAATTAATTTGTTAATATCTTATCCTTCGTATCCTTTGTATCTTATCCTTCTCATTCTTTGTTGATATCAATCCTTGTTTAAAAAATAAGATTTTGGATATTTTAATTTTTATTATAAATATAGGGTTCTGTGACAGATTCAGATAATTAACGTTCTCTTCATTTTAATTTTCATGTGAAATATGCTTTCTGAGCAAAAAACATCAATTTAAAATTTGGGTTCATAATGAAATTAAAGGAAATCTTTTATTCCTTCTCCAAATACACAGTATAGACAAAATTCTGTGACCCATTTTATATGAAATATGATAGCTGAAGTTTCAATGAGTTAAAAGCATTATTGTCTGTTGTATAGTTTTTAAATCATAAAATTACATAAAATGAAGATGTAAAAAATACTTCAAGCTTTAAAGGTTTCATTGTTTTTATTAATTTTAAAAACGCTATTAATTCGATTCTGGTTTTACATGAAAAGCTATGCAATTTCTGAAAGCAACTATTATTTACAGTAATGTATAATTTTATTCTAACAGCAGCTGCAAATACCGATTACCAAGAAAGTTCTTTTTACATTCATTTTTTTACTATTACTGAACACAATGGAAATGCATATAATACCTATTTGCTGTTGATTATCAGTGTAAAAAAAAGGAATAATTTAAATAGTCGATTTAATGAAAAATGAAAATGTATGCTATCATAGATATGAGGATGCTACATTAAGTTTTATATATTTGCTGGTTATACTTACTTTATAGTTGCTTTCAGTGCTTATGAGCCCGCTTTGCATGGCCATATATAGATATAATCTCAAATTTTAGAGATTATATGTCATTCAATGGGAAATTTTAGATTTCTGTTACGGAAGTCTTTGAAAATCAGAATTTCTCATATATTAAATCATCGCATTACAGATTTATACAGTGATGACGTGAAGCTTGTAGCATTTATTACTTAAATTAACCAGTTATTTATAATTTCAACATTGACTATAACTTTTCCTTTCAGTTTCCTTACCAAAAATGTAAATCAGTTAGAGAGTATTTAAGCTGAGATTTTTGGATTGTAAGAATGAGCTTGATTCTGCCTCTCGAGGATTTCTGCTTTAGTTCTGCTATCCCTATGAAATTTGTAGTTATCCGGCTTTGCGTTATTTGTTGCCGACATTAAATCGTTACGCCGGTTAAAGTTTTGAGCCAACTTCGAGTTAAAATTTAATAATGTAATTGACTACTAACCTATGTTTTTATCTAAATGACTGTTATCTTAGTTACATCGCCACAGGTGACAATCGATCCCGCTAGTACGAGAACTGCGTTCACGTTCAAAGTTTGTGTTTAAATTAAAAGGGTATTTTAAAACCTTTTTAAAGACTTTGCAGTCAATTTCAGATGCAGCAATAATTCGCGTTACGTATGTTAGGAGTCTGAAACTAGTTTATACTTCCACAGCCACAGAAAGACAAACTGTATAAACTTATACGGTAAATCCTGTTTAACCGGAATTTACTTATCTGAAAATGTGAAAACAAAAGTCCGAAACCAGTCATTTTCAGTTTTTTAAAAGTTCTATTACAAAGATCTATGAAAAATAAAGTTACTTTTGCTTGAAATCATCACATCATATCCTTTAAAGCAGGGTTTCTTAAACTGTGGGTCGCAACCCCCCAAGGAGGTCTCTGGATCTGCAGCAGGGGGTCGCCAAACATTTTAGCAGTTTTGATATATCTTCAAGGTATTATAATAATTTTACAATTACCAAGTTGTAAAATTATTATTACTCAATATATATTATTATTACTCAATATTTTTTACTCAATATATATGACAATAGATAAAGATAAGACAATACAGACAAAGAAAAACACGGAAAAGTTTCGACGCATTCTTTTTATAATATAAACGTTCATTTTCCTTGCTTTGCACGTGACGCTATCATTTCGTCTGTTAATTATCTAAAATTTTCACATTTTTCTATGTCTTAAAATTAGAAATTAAAGTTAATGCCCTATACCTGCAATAGTATATTACAGTACAAGTGAAAAATTGACAGTTTCGCTTTCGCGTGTGTCGGATTTGCACAATACTTATGGGGGTCTCACAAAATATTTGTAAATATTATGGGATCCTGGGATCGCGAAAAAATCTCAGTGATAAAAGGGGGTCGCGACTGGAAAAAGTTTAAGAAACCCTGCTTTAAAGCGATAACGAAAATCTGAAATAGTAAATTTTGCTTAGCCGAAACAGTAGGGGAAAAAAAAAAGAGAGAGAGAGAGAGTTCAGGTTTTTTTTTTTTTCCTGTTACGTAGGTCTTTGATAAACAGTCCTACTATTATGTAAACTTCATTTCATCATAGCTTTGTGAAGAGAAACTTAAACAGTAAATTCTGTATGAGCGAAGCCTGGCTTATCTGAAACGGTAGAAAATAGCCGGAAACAGTTATTTCTAGTCTTCTAAGAACTTACTTTTTATTGCTTCCTTCATGTAAAAAAATTCTGAAAATGGTTATTACACATGTAAAAAAATTCTGAACTGTAGAGCCTGTTATTACTTTATATACTGTGTTACTTTATACAAATTTTCCATAAAAGAGTTGTCACACTATAATTGCTCGTAACGAAGTCCTGATGCGTTACCTTAATTAGAAAAAACGTGCTATCTGAAGTGGTTTCTTTTCTATTGTTTTCCATATAAATCGGTATTCTAACGCATTGTAATAGTTGTAATGTTTTCTCATTGAATTTGTTTACTGAAAGTAGAGACTTAGTATGACACTGAAATTTATACAATGTAATTCACTACGTGTAATGACTCATGCTATATGCTCACTATCTAATTTACTGCATATAATGTAAACTCAGACGTATAAAGGGAAAAGTTTTTAAAATTAAATTGAATTTAGCTAACTGAACTGTATGCGAGCTTTATTTTATTTTTAAACTCAGTTTAAAGAAAATTAAAAATGGAATTTAGATTTCCTTCGAACTTATGTTTATCGGATTTACGTATACCAGCTTATAAATAACATGTGTTGAGAAAATATACATAGATTGAAATTAAATAGATAGGAGAAACCCTTTTAAAATTGTTACAGAGCTTCTTTTTCTACCGTAGAATTTTTACTGATTGCGAAACCTTTTTCTGCAAGACCAAATCTTTAAATTGATGACATTTCGAGCTTCACTATTTTTACTTTTTTATAAGCCGCTTTTCAGTGTCTTCTATTCTTTTTAAGCTGCTTTTTCTCTTAAAACCCTTTACAGAAGATGTGTGTGCTTGGCCAGGACCTATTAATGGAGAAATTCGTCTTAAGAAGTTAAGACAGGAAAATGGTTTTTTCGTGTTCTACTTCCGAAAATTACTCTTTCGCGCTATTGCTACTTTCATTGTTTCAGGGAATGCCATTTTTCTATCATTAGCTGTAACAACAGAACGATACATTCCATTGGAACGAATGCATATATATATATATATACGTGTATGAGAAATCAGCTAAACCTTAATATCATTTATGAAAGCTTCGAAATAAACTTTTATGTTATTAAAGGAAGTAAAACTGAAGCATAACAAAAGGTAAAAAGAATTATGAAAGCATGATATATAAGCAATATATGAAAAAAATGTAATGCATACTGGTTAAAATAAAACCTAATATTTGGAATAAATAGAAAAATAATAAAAATACATAATTTTTTCTTTAAATTTTGTTTTATTATCTCCAGCAGACGATGGTAAGGATTATGGAATACGTGAGATCATTTGGATGGTGATGAAACAATAGTAAGAAAATAAGCTTATGCTATTTTAATCTAAGGGAAATTACATTCATTTGTTACTGAAGGAACACATCCCACGAGATTTCAAGAAATCACAAAAGCTCATTATCAATAGAGAAGCAGGCATTATTGCCATTCAAGGAAAAGATTTATGTAATTACTAATGTTTCTGATAAAAAATCGATATTAATGACGTTATTGCGAAACATAAAATTGAAACAAAAAAACAATATCTTTTTTATGCGCTCTTATCTTTTCTTCATTTCTTTTAACCTTTATTTATTTATTTTTAATATATAGTACTTTGCTTCATAGGTATTTTTTACACCGTTTTCTTTAACTTTGTTTCTCTAATTTTGAGCCTCCTTTATTGCCTTTTTTACTTCAGTTTTTCACAAGCACTTATTGCTCTGATAATGCAGTTTCCCACTTCAAAATTCAATGGAAATAGTTTTTGCATTTAGTGCATTTTTTTCAGAAATTCCTTTTAACAGTTAAATTAATCAGCGCGAAATTTTGAACTTTGTACCATCGAATATAACTAGAATCACTAGTCCAAATGAAGATTGTTTGTAACTTCTAACGGTTTTTTCCACCTCTGTTTATTTGGCTAAAACTTTGAAATAAATTTTCAGACTTTTCAATTTGGCTGATTTTTTTTTTTGAAATTTTTCTCAATACACATTTGTGATGAAAATAAAATATTACAAATGTAATTTTCCAAACTTCGATGTATCTATTTTTTATTTCATATTAAAAGTTTTACCAAAATTCCTTTTTAATGGACAAACTAATCATCGCAATTCATTGATTTTTGCTCCAAGGAAACCCACAAGCGGCCCCTGAACACGGATTGTTCAGGGATCCTGAAAACTGATAGTTCAACCTGGGTTAAATTCCAGGCGAAGGGCTAGCTGCATGTTTGGTTTTGTGATT